CACATTTCCCTTTGTGTATAAAGTCAATATATATCTGTGAAAGAGGGCCAAAACATTTAATTCTTCTCTGAAAAAAAATAACTCATTCGTTTAGAGAAGTTATCTTGTAATCCTGCATTGCAACAGGTAAAATGCTAGACCAGTCATCGTGGACTTCCTCCAAAGTGCAAACACCCTCTTCCTAGGCCTCCTTTTTCTCCTTTCTCCCTCCTCTCCCTCCCCTCCCTCCTCTCCCTCCTCTCTTCACCCCCATTCATCCTCCTCTTCATCTCATCTTCCTCCTCCTTTTCCTATTACAGTACTGAGAACTGAACCTAGGACTGTCCACATACTAGTCAAGCTTAGGAAACATCTTTTTGTTGTTGTTTTTGTTTGGATTTTGTTTTTTGAGACAGAGTCTCCCTGTAGCCCCAACTGGCCTGGACCACACTATGTAGACCAGGCTGGCCTTGATCTCAGATCTCACAGAGATCCACCAGCCTCTTCTTCTCAGGTTTGGGATTAAATACACACACCACCATGTCCTGCTTGGCACCATCTTTCCTATAACTTAGTGAACTATGTGCAGGTAGGCATGGTTTGGTGTCAGGTTGATAAATTATTTATAAGCATCTTTTTATACTGAATTCTTGTGGTTTGGTATTGGTTCAAAACTCAGACCCAGTAGGTGACAAAAAACAGATGTTTTAACCTGTAGTAATTAACTATGCTTTTTGGGTGTAAAATGATAGAACTGTATTTAGACAATCTGACTTTTCCTCCACAGTTGTATATAATTATTTAAAATCTTTTCATGAAGAGACTCACTTTACATAGACATGTTAAGTATTTCTCAGTGCTAGGAATGCTGGTACCCCACAAAATAGCAGCCAATTGAAATTCTAGGTTGGCTGATCACAGGCATTGGAGAGATGGGAAAATCTTACTGCTTCTCCCAAATAGAGTACTTTCTCCAAATTGCTAAAAACACAGATTCTTCCATTGGCCACCAGCCTGGTGTCTAACTGCCATCTGGAATATTTGGATTCTAAACCTTAGGCTCTGACAAAAATATCTATCACGATTGGCGGCCTCAAACTGTTCACTGACCAGTACACTCCCTGAGGGCAGGCTTATGATCACTCTTCACGGCTGTCAGAAAAGACCAAGGGAAAGTCCAAGGGAACGAGGGCTCAGAGAAACTGCATAGGATGGTATCTTTGATTATTTATGAACACAGATCTCTAGTGCATATTTAATACGTATGGAATGGCAGTACCCACTGTATGTGAAGGAAAACAAAATTCTGGAAAAAACAGCATTTTTGCTCTTTGAGAAAAAGGCTCATCACTGACATTGATCAAATTCACATTCCTTCATTTCAATATTTTTGAGCTCACTGTGGTATGAATTTCATTTTTCTCTTGTAAATTTTTACATTATAATATCGGGTCAAAGTTACTATGATCAAACTTATCACTGCTAAACTCTGAGAACCCATGGCTGATAGTCCCACCCTATTTTTTCTAGTTAATCATACCACATCGTCATCCCATGGCTTGTCTTCAGGATGAAACATCTTGCCTGTATTTCAGGAACTTCCTTAGGAAAGCTGAGTCTGGGAGCCACCGCTGCTCTGCTCCTCAGTCTATGCACAGCTTAGGTCACTGACATCACTGTCACCACTGTCCCCATCGTCGTAGAGTCCCTGTTCATCAAGGAGCTCCTCCCTACCTCAGTTCGGTTCTTTATATTACATACCTCTACCTTGTAGAATAGAAATCTGGTTTGCATTTTCCTCTACACAGTAGCAGGTAGAATAAATTACGTCACGATAATTGCATATAGAGACAGATATATTTTTCTAAACGTCAGAAACAAGCTGGGAGGCAGTAAACGTAAGAAGCTGAACCTGAAAGGTCTCTCACCTCACTGGTTTAACAATATTTGATGTTTTAGCTTTACAGAATAACTTGACTCTTCTCTTGAAACTAATGCTAGGAATTTTTATGATCACTAAAACTCCCACAACTTGGCGGAACATAAAAAAACAATATTACTGAAAACATTAACTTCCTCCCATTCCTTGCTCTCGTTCTGCCTCCAACAGGGGGTGATTTTTTTTAAAGGAAACAGTCACATAAGATTGGTTGCAATCTGCTCACTGATGACCTTGGGTCTTCTGGTATACATGAGTCTCTCTCTCTCTCTCTCTCTCTCTCTCTCTCTCTCTCTCTCTCTCTCTCTCTCTCTCTCTCTCTCTCTCTCTCTCTCTCTCTCTCTCTCTCTCTCTCTCTCTCTCTCTCTCTCTCTCTCTCTCTCTCTCTCTCTCTCTCTCTCTCTCTCTCTCTCTCTCTCTCTCTCTCTCCACACACAGCTCTAATCTTGTCTCAAGTTGCTCTACAACTCATACTTTTGTTTACTTAATATTTTTAGTTCCTTCAAGGACCACTGTTTCTTCTTATGGTGGAACAGCCCAAAAACCTTTGGCAAAAGGAGAGCTGAGTTCTAACTCCAGCTATAAATCATCTGACTTTGGGCAACTTTTCCAATTTGAGTTCAAGAGCACGTCTTTGGATAATTCAGGCTCAGTAAACCTCAGTTCTATCTGTGATACAGTAAAATAACTGCTTTCATCTGGTCCAGGAAAAAATGTGCATTTCTCTGTTATTTCAGGGATGCAGTACCTCCAACCTGCAAACATAATAAAATATTTGAGAATATTTGTCATTTTAATTTTAAATGTAGGTCTTGTAATCCTTTGGAAGTTGTGAATGTGCCGTAATGACCAATAATCACTGCATCACCTTTTAAAAAACCTTTTAAACTATTTTATTTGTTATTTTTATTTTGTATGTATGAGTGTATTGCCTGCATGGATGCAAGTGCACCTGTGCCATACAATGCCCGCGGAGGTCAGAAGAGAGCATCGGATCCCCTGGAACTGGAGTTCTGGATGGTTGTTAGCCACCATGTAGGTGCTGGGAATCTAACCCAGGTTCTCTTCAAGAGCAGTCAGTGCTCTTAACTGTTGATCCATCTCTCCAGCCCCCTGTATAATGTTTTATAAGTAATTTATCAAGCTATTTAAGTATCTAAACACCAGCCATAGTACTTAGAAGAGATCTTTTAAATATAATATAATTCCTTAAAGAGAGTTAAATTTTAAATAATGGGTTTATTTTCACTTTTTTTTTTCTGCCTACAGATGTCTAAATATCCCATGTCATTTCAGGGTATACTAAATCCAAAATATGTATTAATAAGCTACTAACAACAACCAATGAAATTCTCTTCAAGGGGAGGGGCGCAGTTCACAGTGCCATATAAAATTTATAGAATATATTATTATATAGTTAGATTGTGAAAAATCTAAGTATTTTTCAAATTCAGGATTGGTTCATATATTCTACTGGGCCACTTTTAGTTTGCAAAGCCATGTCCTTAGGACAGATTTATGTTATGAATGACTTCACAAAAGTTCAGAATGATGACAGGGAAAACAACTTTTTAGATCACAGGAAATAATATACCAGTTTTCTTCATATCGTAACCATGGGAAATTCATCAGTTCTGATTTTTTTAAAACAGCAGTAAACTCCCAAGTCTTCGTAAATGAAGCAAATTATCCTTTTTGTCTTTCTGTAACCCAAGACTCAGGAATTAAATCATATTTTTCCAATGGACTGAAATAATGAATGATGTCATTATTCCAACACATAAAAATTTTACAGGGACAGTCCTTATTGATCATCTAAATGTGCTTCCCTAGTGTGATTCACATTTGCTCTGGAATTTTCTTATATTACTTTGCATATGAATAAGCTACAGTCCTTGTCAATAATTTAAATTTCCTGTTTCTAGTTATAGTATTGGACACTGAATGCAATATATGTGTTTCCATGTGAATATTTGCTGTATTTGGTTTTTGGATTTCATTTATACTGGAACCCCATTTACCAGAATTGGTTGTCTGTCCCAGACAATGTTTCTTTTGAAATTGTTCTTTCTGGAAAATAAATCAAGATAGTCCAGAAAACTATTTCACAGTCCTTCTCCTTAGGAATTTCCCTTCCTTAGAATCAGTACAGATGTTCAGGGTTGCACAATGAAGGCTCTCCGTGGAATCTCAAGACAAGTGCAGAATAGGAAACTGGGACATGTGCACACATATATTGTCAAAGTTAATGGATGCCTTCTTATCCACGTTGTTAAAAATTATGTAATATTGCATGGAGATAAAATGCATGTTACTCTTAATGGTCAATGTCAATTGTTTGAAAATGAAGCACTCTTCTCGTTGTCTGATGCCATCTCCCTAGAAAAGTGAAACTGCCCTTTCAGTTCATGAACGACTAGTGATAGCAGCTTCTCAGTTATTTCATAGAATTAAATGACAGTTTAGTGGGAGAGTGTGTTTTAGACTGTCTTCTTTTAATCTTTAATCCTCAGATTAATCTGAGGCTTGACCATTTAGATCATGAAGTGGACTGACCTTATGACAAGCAACCAGTTAACTTTTATCAATGCATTGGTTCTACCTGGGTCGACCACATATCGGTCTTCCAGGGTTCTGCTCCTTTTGGAAAAAAATGTTACAGGTGCTCAGTTTGGTAAGTCAAAGAGCTGATGGATAAACAGATTGCCCCAATGTAGACAATAGAATTACTGTGTGAGGAGCTGGTGCTTTTATAGCACACAATCGAAAATGTTAGAAAGGTAGCCCTTGACCTAATAATATGAAATACTTGCTTCCCTGGGCATTGGTAACAAGGGATATGATGTCTGCATTTGTTTTGTGTCCCTGAACATACCAATGTCAAGATCCTTTATATGTGGTATCTGTCATTTCTCCCCTGAGAAGTAAGCTGTTAAACTGAGGTGACAGCCTCTTCCTTTACATATCTCCGGGCATAACCCAGAATACCCACAGGAAACATGCCACATGTGAATATGGGTACTTTCCGAAGAGTGCGTTTATTTTATTGGTGATAGTCTGTCTCTGTCTTTTTGTTCTATAGCAGTTATATGCTGCCCAGCTAGCGGCAATGCAGGTCTCTCCAGCAGGGAAGCTCCCAGGCATCCCCCAAGGCAACCTCTGTGCTGCGGTCTCTCCTACCAGCATCCACACAGACAAGAGCACAAACAGCCCACCACCCAAAAGCAAGGTACCTTTTCAAGAAGCTAATCTGTCTTTCCACTTAGGCTTTTACTGTTCAATCAGTGCTATTTACTGGTTTGCTTATTTCGTTATAATACAACGTGATTGACATAGCGATTAATCAGATGAGTGTCCTTTAGCTAACGAGCTTCTAGTTTTAGAACTAGAAGTTCCAGAAGCAGTCAAGCAGCCAGCCATCCTTTATATTCCAAAATAATAACAATAGATTTCTTGAAGACATGTGCACATACAGTGCATTGGATGTTATTAGGAAGAAAAGATTAGATTCAGCATAGAATGAGAGTTTGCCAAGGAAAAAGCAATAGAAATAGAAATGAAGTACAAGTAGGCTTGGGACATATGGAGTGTTTCTTTAAAAATATCAATAACTGGTATAACGTGGTATGGTATGGTTGCAATTTTAGATATGCCATCCATCCACTGCGATTACCATGCAAAGAAATAAAGATAATAACAGCACTTTAAGACGAGGAACTTTTCTGGCTTCAGAGCTATGGAAACATTTCCTCAGAATACTAGTGAGAACGGGGAGATTAAATGGTGTGTGTCTCATAGAGACAAGCAGAGCAACTTGTATGAAATGGTTCTGTATCTGATGAGACTTGATGTGCACGCTGTTGTAGGGCTGTATGAGGCTTTCTGTGAAATTAATAAGAAGAATAACCATAAAACAGGTTTGCTGTGGTTATTCAGAAAAATAACTGCAAATATTTGACTACAGTAGGGAATATTAAGCAGAAAAGCGACAGAGCTAATTTTTCCATCAAATACATTTTTTTTGAATTATCTAAATATTTGCTTTTCTTTTTCGTTCCGTGTGGGAATGTCTTAGGCATGTTGGGGTAAAGTAACCATGGTTATGTGAAAGAAACACACAGAGGAAGATGAGAAAATATTGAAAGGGGAAAAATAAACAATTTTGAACATAGTCTCTCTAGTATACCAGCATGTGGTTCAGAACAGTTATAGAACTCCAGAAAGCGAACTGGGGAGTAGGCAGCGTATCATCAATGAGGGAAAATCCCTGCAGCTTCTGTCTTCCCAGAACAGCCAAGGCAAGGCCTTCTCCAGATTGCTGGGTGAGGTATGCATGTGTGCAGATGCTTTCCTGGACAAAGAGTTGGAAGGATGAAGCATCAGAAATACATCATTTACTTACATAGTATTATTATATTATTATGCTTGGTAGACCTTGTATGTCCTGGTTTAATATCTAAGGCTTTCTTTATAATCCAGCTACATGTAAGTTTTTTAAAACTCAGTGATAATTATACATTTATGGAATAAAGCTTAATTTTAAAGCAGGGATATTTGGGGGGATGCATGGACCAAGAGTTTTAATGTACTACATGTACGCACTGACCTTGAGCAAAACAAAAACACACAGCAGTACAGACTTTATCATAGGTCTCTCTGTGAGGTGGGACTCTGTCTTTTTTTCCTGGACATATCGGCATCATTTCACATCATAATCCACATGGATGCTTTACGTTAGGATCTTTCATTTTAGGGTTTTAGGATATATAGTTCAATTTTACGTGATTTGATTTGTTTTCCTTACCACTGGTTGATAGTACTATATCATCCACATCTCAGTCAGATCACTCATACAGTCAGGAAGTTTTTAACGCCAGACAGCTTCTTCCATTCTGACTTGTGTTCAGTCTTCATCCATCTGTCTATCCACTTACATGTTAACTGACTGCTGCAATGATCCTTCCTCGTGTCAGCAAAGCAAAGGCAGAAGTCAGGTCAGTGAGGGTTTGTTTCCTTGTGACCAGAAAACTTCTTAGTGAGCTACATGGTTCTAGAGACTCATGGGACCCTACAACTTCAGTTATGTGGAAATGTTAAATTTCCACCACATCATGTAGTTTTACATGCCCCCCTTTAGTTCATAACAGTAAAAAAGTAGATGGTGTTCCAAATACCATGATTTGTGTAATTTCAAAATATATTCTAGTTTGTCTTTGAAGCACAATTACTTCTTAAAAGTTATCATTCATAAATATTCTGTCTCATGTAGTTTAAGGAAACAATAGATGTTTTGTTGATTTATTTCAGCAGAAAAATTCAGTGATTTAAAAAGAGCCATACTACTAAGTGTCCAAGTTGTGTTCTATTGCTGTGATAAAACACCCTGTCACAACCAAATTGGGAAGAAAAGGGATTATTTCACTTATACATACTTATCACAGATCATCACTGAGAGAAGTCAGGGCAAAAACTCAGGGCAGGAACCTGGAGGCAGGAACACAGACCATGGAAGAATGCAGCTTACTGGCTGCTCCTCTGGCCTGTGCTCAGCCTGCTTTCTTATACAACCCAGGATCACCTGTCCAGTGGTGGTCCCACCCACAGTGGACTGGGCCCTCCCACATCACTCAACAATCCAAAAAAAACCCAAAACCGTCTTACAAGGCAATCCCATCAAGGAAATCCCCACCTGAGGTTCCCACGTCCCAGGTGTATCAAGTTGATAACAGAAGTTTTCCAGCACATCACCTTAATAAAGAATGCAGCGCTCCCCAAACTGTACTAAAGAGTAAATGCAAAGGGCCCATTACGGTACATGAAGTTACTTCCTTTAGCCTAGAACTTGATATTTGTACATAGTAGCACATTGAACATTTTGACTTCCTGGAACTATTCCATTCAGGTATAAGAGCTGTCATTTAATATCATCGTTCTGCTTTTAAAGAATCAGCTATGAGTGTCTTGGGGGCATTTTCTGGGCATCTTACTGTCAGTTTTCATATTTACCCTTAAGTAGAATTATTTATTTTAAGGGCTCTGTGTTTGGGGCATATAACAATGTAGCATAAATGGAATGGATGGTTTATGGCACATACACGTCTTCTATTTGGAGCAGTGGGAGTCACAGGTCAAATTCAGGTGATGATGGACAGGGATCTGATGGACAGCTGCCTAAAATGAAGCATGTGTTCTGAGTTTCACCCCTGCCCCTCCTTCTGGGCCTGCTCTTGCCTCTGACTCTGAACTCCAGAGAAGGACACAAGCAAAACTTATTTGCAATTTGCAAAAAGGAAAAAAAAAAATGGAAGGGGGAATCAGAAGGAGGGGGCTCCAAAAGACTGTAAAATTGTACAGCATGAGTCCTCTGATGCATGCTGTTTTCAATCTGCTGTGTGCCAGTTGGACGCTCGGGGAGTGTGTGCGCTCGAGAGAAAGGATAATACCGAGAAGTGATAGAGTGACTGTGACCTCCAAGCTCAGCTTGGAAATCCAAGACATTGATTTCACTTAGCATTCCTGCTGAGAACTCTGACGGAGTTCAGTTGTAATAAAAGAACAAGATTCTGTTCTAATGGTAATGGCCTATGACAGACATATCACTTTGTCTGTCCTCGGCACCAGAGACAGCAGAATTGGAGAAAGGTCACCTGACCTGCCTGGGGTGTTGTACAAGTGCTGCACTGAGCTTTGAACTGCCACCTAGGGATGTAATTATTTATAATATTAAATGATAAAGAAACCTTTAGAGGACTCACAGTGGATGGCCAAACACTGCACAAGGGAATTACTTTCCATAAATGTGAAAATGCTGAAGGAAATTTGGTCTGTATAAAATCTCCATTCTAGAATACTGACATGCCCTCATTGTGACTGTTTATGAACTGTGCTCAGGAATGCCTGGTATAGTACCAGTGTGGATATTTTAAGGCTTCTGCTTTATCTAATCTGCCAAAGACAGTGTAGCAGAGGATTAAGACCAGGGGCAGATTTCAACTTGTTTTTTAGCACTTGCAATCATTCTAAACACACGCACTCTTCCCTCGCTAGCCGGCTCTTCAAGTCTTCCTGGCGCACAGTTATTTCATTGACCAGTGATCACAAACACATTCATTCTCTTCAGAGACCCTTTCAGCTTCCGTGTGTCCTTAGAGTTTATTTTACGGTTCAATGTTGGCAAATAACAATGGATAAAAGTATGAAATCTCGAACTTTTCTAGAAGAGATACTATTTAACGGAGTTTCAGTGATTCCGCCTTCATATGTGAAAGAATGTTTAACATTCTGTCGCATGATATTGGAATTTGCATCTTGCTTTGAATTTGCTTGCATGCCTTAACAAATGTTGGAAGTTTGTTTACAGTCTGGATTTTGCCTCAGACTAGACTGATAGAGGCTGTGTTCAGCCTCTCCCTTGATAGCACCAGGCGTTTATGTCAGTTCCTTTCTGTAAATTCTGCTGAGTCATTTTAAAATCCTGGACACTGAGCTACCAGCTGATCTTCTGGTATATTTGCTTTCCTAGAATAAATTACTTAAGAAGATAATAGAACCAATGTCATTCTTATAATAGAAGAATACACAGTATTTCATACGTAACTCACACCATTCTTTGTTATGATTTGCACTTCCATTTCATGCTAGCAAGGGGCCCTTATCCATATCAGGTGTGCTAAACTTCAGAGATTCACATTTTAAGTGACATTTTCCATCATAAAAGTAGGCACCTCTTGGGGAAATCCAAGGGCCACTTGTACATGTTACTAAACTTCTCTCAGTATTTGATAGAAACTTACATATTGCCATCAGCCACCAAGAACAGTTAGTTTATAAAGCTGATAACAGCAGAGAATTCCTGGATGCTTTTCTTTTAACCTCACAGTGACCCTTGTCACATCCCCCCTAACTGTCATGTCTCCATCAATGGCAAGAACACATAAATTGTCCAAATCAATTTTTTGGTTCTTTTTCAAATCCTTCTAGCAGTGATGTTCCCATTTTGCTCAGTCATAGCACCCGGCAGGTCGAGGGACGGGAATGTCTCTCTGTGAAGCCAGAAATGGCACTGACCAGACATAATCAGATTCTCTCTGCCTCTAACATCTTTGTAAGTATCACTTCAAATTTAAAACCAAGAGCCAGAACTTTGCTACCATCGGATCCATTCTCACAGACACAGAAATGAAGTCATCTTTCTGGACTTGATGACCTTGTGCTTGCGTTGATAGTGTC